TTCCACACGATCTCTCACTACCTACACAGTTGATCTCACAGATCACACTCCCTCACAGTCGATCTACACAAGATCTCACTCACAGCAGCAGAAGATAAATGCAAGACACTCTCTTTACACAAGCCCCTATAGCAAAGAGAAGAGTACTGAAGCTGGGAAGTGAAACACACACAAGAACTCAGAAGAACAAGTTTGATTTGAAAATTTTCTCAGGAAGAAACAGAGCTCTCTGGTTCTCTTTCAAAACGGAAGTCTAGGGTTTAAATAGAAGATATTAATCAATTTAAAAACATAACCCAATCTTCCCAATTAAGAAAATAATCTCCTTTTCAGACCATTACCACAGACTGTGCCAAACACGGTTAAGTGTAAGCACAGCAAACGAGGCAATCGACCGTTTGAAAAAAGTCGCGGCTGAAACGAAGAAGAATTTCGGTTGACCGAAGGGAATTTCGGTCGACCGAAAAAATGCTTCGGTCGACCGACCAAAAATTCAGTCGACCGCGAACAGCGTTGAAAACTTGGAAAACAAACAGAGCCATCATCGGTCGACCGGCGCGGTCGACCGATATAGAAATCGAGATTTCGGTCGACCGCACCGGTCGACCGACAACCTCTCTGGAAAATACTGACGAAAGATCATAGGAGCGGTCGACCGGCCCGGTCGACCGCTTTCTGATATATTGCTGAAACTGATTTTTGACCCAACTTAAAATATTTGCAATCTGAAAATTTTGAAACTTTGTAAAATGTTTTTAATACTAAAAACAAACTGTTTGGAAAAAGAATTTTGCAGATAGGTCCTCATACTTGTGATAAATATTTTGTGAAAAAACGCTTAAAAACATAAGTATGAAAACGTGTGTGTGATTCCCAATAGCTTCAAGTAAAATCAGTAACTTTTTGCCTACATTTTAGCTCTAGAGAGAAAATAAAAAACTAGCTAATATCCTCACATAGAATACAGTTCTTGAGTCTTGATAGCTTTAAGTTTGATGAAGCTTCTTTATGGATTTGTTGTTCTTGAATTAACATTGTTTCATCATTATGCCTCCTCCTCCTTTGGATATCATCGTTGTAGCATATATTCCATCCATCCTCCATACATGGCACTAACGAGCTTGATAAATGAATTTACTACATTTGCACTCAATAAGCCATTAGTACCGTTAATGGTGGTTGTGAAACATCATCAAAACATAAGGGCTAACAACCTTCACTGTAGCATCCTCTAAGATCACTTGATATCCTGCTGCCTCCAAAGTCCCAAGAGAAATGATGTTTTTCGTCAACTGCGACACGAACCTCACTTCTTTTAATTCCCTCACTACACCATCATGCATCCTAATCCGGACTGAACCAATACCACCAATAGGGCATACGTGGTCATTACCTATAAGCACGACATCCCCTCTTTCCAGCTCCTCAAAGCTACTCTTAGGACAGATGTGATATGTAGCTCCCGAATCCATCATCCATTCCATGGAATCCGCATAGCAAACCGACGGTAAAGCAGGGCATGAATAACCTGAAGAATCTGAATCTGAATGCTCACCAATAGCTTTTGCAACATTCACCTCTGAAGCTTGTGCAGCTTTTCCCTTATTCTTCCCGGTTTTTTCTTTCCACTTTGGGCAGTCAATCTTCCAATGTCCTTCTTCTTTACAATACCGATATTGATTCCTACCAACACTCTTATAGGCACTTCTATTCCTTGATTTTGAGCGGTTGAACTGGCGACGGTTTGGATCTCGGCCTCAAACTGCTAACGCATCTCCTGATGCCTTCTCGGAGGGTTCACCATCACTCTTCCTCAACTCATAGTTCACCAAAGCTGAGGTCACCTCCTTGTAGCTGACTGTAGTTCTTCCATTGATCATAGTGAGAACGAACGTACCATAATCATCTTTGGGCAACGAACACAGAAGTAGCATCGTCTTGTCTTCATCCTCAACTATAATGTCCACATTGGCCATATCTGAAAGTAGCTTAGTGAAGTTGTTGACATGCTCCCTGATGAAAACTTCCCTCTTCATCTTGAACTGGTAAAATATCTTCTTCAAGTGAAGCCGATTCTCAATGCTCTTCGTAAGATATTTCTCATTAAGTGTTTCCCACATCTTCTTCGCCGACGTCTCGTTCATGACATCATAAATAAGATCCGGTGTCAAGCATGACCTAATAACACCACAAGCTCTACTGTTCATCTTCCTCCAAACCTTATCCTTCATATCTGCGGGTTTCTCTTTTAACTCAAGAGTCTCCTCCAAATTCTGTGCATCCAAGGCAACCATCACCTGACACCTTCACAATCCAAAATTGATCTTGCCGTCAAACTTCGGAACACCAATCTTTGTGTTATTGATGCTCAGACTCTGTATCGCCTTTGTAAGAGACGAACCTGACGTGTTTGCATCTCCCATGTTGTCGATCTAGCTCTGATACCAATTGTTGTGCGCGGCGGAAGCTTTTCTTGTGCAACACGAACAATAACTCGAACTAAGTCACAACTAATATGCAAACACAATCACATCAAGAACAAACAATTTACGTAGTTCGGAAAGTTGCCTACGTCCACGGGGCAAGGGGGAGGGAGTTCTTACTATTAGAAATCAGAGAATACAAGTAGACAAAAACCGAAGCCCAGCCCAGAAATCATCGATGTCGATCGCGACGGTCGACCGAATCACAAACCCGAGAGCTAAATCCTTTACAGTCATTCGCGGTCGACCGCGGCGATCGACCGCCATCAACTCCGAATCTCAGTAAGTCTGCGTGCACGTTTGCGGTCGACCGCCAGCCTGTCTGACTTCTGTCTGGCTGATTCTCTACTTTTTCCTGTAATTCTTCAAAAAGTTATGACTATTGGAAGCACATTTTCAAACCTATAAATAGTTTATGTTTTCAGATATCTAAAAACAATTCTTTTTTTGAATCTTTTTTAATCAAAAAATATCTGCAATATTACAAACTTGTTTCACAACGAATTAAGGAAAATTCCAGATTTGCTTACTGGACTTGTTTCACAACGAATTAAGGAAAATTCCAGATTTGCTTACTGGAATTTTCATTTTCTGTTGTATCCTGAGAAGAAAATTTAATTAAGGAAAATTCCAGATTTGCTTACTGGAATTTTCATTTTCTGTTGTATCCTGAGAAGAAAATTTGCCTTAACCCGAAGCAACTTTCAATATCAAGTGGGGGCAAATATTTCTTTAATGAAAGTGTTTCACGCCTCAGAATTTCTGTCTCCTTCGTTTTTTTAAAAATAACACTTTTGACATACTCAATTTGCTAAAAACTAGGTTAAAAATCGCCCGTATTTTCTAGACTAAAAAGGAGCCATTAAACTGGTTGTATTTTGATCCACCTCTTTCCATGGATCATGTACAATTTTCCAAACAGAGCCTAAGAAGTAAGAGCCCAAAATTTTGTCGAATAGTTAAGAGGATAGAGGAACCGTAGGCTTTTGAAGGAGAAAGATGAGAGAGATACAAATGAACATAAGAAATTAGAGAGAGACGCCGGAGGAGAAGAACGCGACCCGTTTAAAATGAGCTCGATCTGACTGATGATACGAGCATGGGTATAATAATCCATTAGAACACTTGTTTAAAAGTTGGATCAATTTTTTCTTCGAGTTCCATTTATATCCTTTCTCATATTGTTCTTTCGTTCGGTTATGTCCCTTTACTATGAACCGATGATTGAGGGTATTTTAGGGAGACACAAGCCTACTTTCATCATTCCCTGTTCATTCCCCTGCTCTTTTACCCTCTCGGCTTTTTCATACTAATGTGAACACCGTGAAAAGCACATCATTTTTTTTCGCTACAGTAATTCCGGTTTTAAATGTTATCGTAATAATTTTGAATTGCTACTAGCTGCTACAGTAATAATACTACAGTAAATGCTAATGTAGCATTACTGTAGCATAAATAGTAAATGTTGGGTTCTCCCTGTACAGAGGAGTAGATGTATGTGAGCTTGGGGTTGTGGGCATTTTGGGTAGTTTGTACATGAAATCTCACCTTTCCTTTTGAGTTTTTTTAATTAAAAAAATTCCCTGCCGTGATGGGATGAGGTAGAGGTGCCCCCTCCATTCATTTAAAATTTTCCAATTGAAGGTCCATTCTAATTCTAAGCATCTAACTATTAAATGGGAAAGAGCACTAGCAAAATAATAGATAGATTACAAGGAATTGATCACGCACCATATTCAAACATAATTATATGATGGGTGACGGATCTGCCCTAAAACTGATGTCCAAATCTAATTGGGGATGATTGAGAAGAATGAATGCTCTATTCTTGCAATTGAAAATACTTGGTTGTAATTTTAACCAAGGGAAAAGTATTGATAGTTTTGCTTTTTTTTTTTTTGGCGTGGTGAGGGAAATCCCCACGATCCTTTGGGACCATAAGTACCAAGTTCAAGGATTGGCTAAGGAGTACTCCTTAACGCATAGCCTCAGTTATTCTACAAAATTAAATTCGTGGGAGAGAGTCGCCTGAGACGTTAGAGTACTACCTATAGGTAGCTACCATCTCGGCTAGACCCCCTTGGGTGATTGCTTTCCAATATTGATTAATGACCTTTAACTATGGTATTTAGGGTATTTGTATATGAGAATTTGTGAAGCTTGAGCTGTTTTAGCTTCAATTCTTTGTGGGGTTTGGATTGAACAGTAGCTGTATTATTTGAGCACAGGTGTTAAGTCTCCTGAATGTCATGAAGCATCCAAGTAGGGTCCTCTAAAAAATTAGATTTATGCATCTGGCTATATTTTGTATATGCGCATGATGTTGTGCGCGGTGAAAATTTTGGCAGCACCAGATGAGAGTAGATCTCAACTAAATCCCTGTTTCACAAAGGAAACAAGAACCGAAAGTAATATATCTCAACAAAATGGGATATACACTATTCCTCTCATCAATTCTAGGACTGACTTGTTGAGGGAACTTAAACAAGCTATTACAAATCACAGCAAGACAACGAATTTTACGTGGTTCGGCAAGATGCCTACGTCCATGGGACAAGGAGGGGGGAGATCTACTATTAGAGAGAGAGAATACAAATAAGGTTTACAATCATACAAATTAAACCCTCAAACAAGCTCTCAAATCTCACACAAATATCTCCCTCAAAAGGATGCTCAAACTCTAAAAACAGCTGCACAAAACTCCTCTTCAAAACAGCAACTATCCTCTGTGTTTTCACCAAGCCCAGCCGCAAAACCTTCTATGATTGTCCCCTGCCTTGCACTAAACCCTAGGAACAAATTATTGTTCCTATTTATAGCCTGTAGCCTGGCCGTGTGTGGATGTGGCCGTATGTGTGGGACTAATATCTAAATAACCCAAAAATGTTATATCCTTTTGATGTTAATTTTTTGTTTATTTACAATTTTGTACATAACGAAAGAGGTATCCAAACTAGTGTTGTCACTGCTTTTAAGGTGGATAAATTTTATATGATAAATTTTTGATAATATTTTATAGTGCTTAAATATTTGCATTTATCTTGCAATAGTGGAGCCTCTAATTTTATTTCTTCCTCCTTATCTCCATAGTTGAACTTAGAGCGCTTACCGAGAGATATACTGATTTTAGACGCCGCTACAGCAGAATATTCTCTTAAACCTTGTGTTTCACTTGTCACAAAATTTGAGCTTAATGGTCAAAGAGAAAAGGTGTTTATAGCTAAAACTCACCTGTCTGCGAAATCTGAGCTCTCCAGGATAATGTAGGTATGTATTAACGTATAAATATCACTTCATCGAGTTGAATTTTCAAAAGCAAAAAACACACAATGTGCTGAATTTTCACTTACTATTAGTTAAATCTAAAGTTAGCAGCTTTAACTCATAGTAAGTGAAAATTCAGCACATTATGTGTTTTTTGCTTTTGAAAATTCAACCCGATGAAGTGGTATTTATATGTTAATACATACCTACATTATCCTGGAGAGCTCAGATTTCGCAGACATGTGAGTGTTAGCTATAAACACCTTTTCTCTTTGACCCTTAAGCTCAAATTTTGTGACAAGTGAAACACAAGGTTTAAGAGAATATTCTGCTGTAGCGGCGTCCAAAATCAGTATATCTCTCTATAAGTGCTCTAAGTTCAACTATGGAGATAAGGAGGAAGAAACAAAATTAGAGTTTCCACTATTGCAAGATAAATACAACTATTTAAGCACTATAAAATATTACCAGAAAATTTGTCACATAAAATTTATCCCCCTTAAAAGCAGTGGCAACACCAGTTTGGATACCTCTTTCGTTATGTACAAAATTGTAAATATACAAAAAATTAACATCAAAAGGATATTATATTTTTGGTTTATTTAGATATTAGTCCCTCAAATCTTCAATAGCTTCATATTAGTCCCTCAAATCTTTGAAATTTCTCATAAGTCCATCAAATCCTATGGGATCTTGCAATTTCATCCTTCTAGGAAAGGCCCAAATCATAGTTAGGAATAAAGAGCTACATATACTACCATACATAAGTACAATATCTACCAAATATTGCAGAGATGGATTAAGGAGGAAATATGCTGCTATAATTAACAAAATTAAATAACAACATTATCTTTCTACGAAGGCAATTATGACTTGAATGGCAAATGCTTGCAACAACATGAGAAGAACAAATATACCAAGAGATAGAACTTGAAGCATGATAAATTGGTGGCAGTCCTTATTTTTATTTTTAGAAAGATGTCCTTCCCTTTTGTCTATAATTAACAAATTAGGGTTGATTCTTATTCCTATTGGAAGAAGCCAAGATGTCGTTATCAAATGCATCCAGAAAGACCAATCGAACGATAAATAGACAGATTGCAGATATATAGAAACATGAGCCATTCCTTAGGTTTAACTCAGCAAGATATATAATTACTTGAGAAAATATCACAATGGTATATATAATTTATGGGCTTTTTAGAATTTCTTTTATTTCTTTTTGTGTTTTTCCCCTTGAAGCAGACCGGTTTTTCTGTTTTCTCAGTCTGATGAAAGCTGGAATATGTTTCTATTGGGAGGAGTTTCTAATGAGAAAATCCCAAACATTGGTGACAATGTGTTGTTGTGCTTTTCATTTTTGGTTTTTGGATATTTTGTATGTGACATGTTATGAGTGGGTCTGAAAATTATGCTAACAATTTGGATACTTCCAATAAGAAACTATTACTAAACATAAAACAGTAACGATGCATAAGAGAATATCATGCAATCCAAAAGATCACATACATGTAGGAATCATATTGTAAGCTTTTTCACATGAAAGGTAAGAGAACTGATGGTACAAATCAACAATCATATAACAGACATCTTAGACGTTCATATTTCACTTAATTAATGCATCAAGAGCATCCAAAAAAAGGCTACATAAAATAAGCAATGATATAACACGTAATAAGGACTCTACTACAAAGATTCATGTTTCTAATTCAGGAACCTCTTCATACTTTTTTGACACAAAAAGAACTATTTCATATCATACTTGTCAAAGCTCTTACACTCACTAATATGTAAATGGAAGATCATATTTTGACATAGTAAACAATCATATAATTAACACAAAATAATCATATACTTAACACATAACAAAATACTAGAGATCTCGGATGGGCACATTTAAATTACTATTTGAGGTCATCTCAAAAATTCCCCTCAAAAGCTACATTGGAAATAACAACTATTCAGTAACTAATACAATATAAAAAATGACAACTACACTACTCGGCGCTAAGATGGTCTTGCTGAGGTGTATTCCCCATAGATGTTGGGAACGTAGGACACCATAGTGAACTGCAACCCGGGTTCAGTCGTCCCGAATTCTTGGTGGAGCACGACCCGATTCACTAATTCTAGCGACCCAATTTAGGATTCAATCCAACTAAAATCTTGAGAAAATTAACTCTTTCTCAAAAGAATAAATGAAAAATAACATGTGAAATTAAGTAAATAAAGTATGCATACCTTAATTGCAACATGATTCTAAATGTTCTTTTACCATTATTATTATCAAGGAGTATATTTCTCAAACATAACTCTTACAAAACATTTGATTCCTACATCTCAGGGTTCAAACCTAAAACATGCCAAGTTCCATGGCGTGCCCTATAAGCCTAATTCATTGTACCTGATTCCAAATGAGTGGTGTACCACGCTCTCGTATCCATCCCGTGAACCGGAACGAAATGGATTCTATACAACTTAATTACCATTACTCTTAATTGTCTTTTATGTTCATAAGTAAAAGCTGTCAAAAATATCAAATTTCTAAATATACTTATCTTCCAGTTTTTTTTATATACACCTCTTTCAACCCATCTGAGAAAAAGAAGGAATGACATTATGATTTTCACCATGAAACAGGTGGGCATTGTACTGAAGGGCATAGTTGATGCAAAGCCTTGATCATGGTGGGCCAATACAACAATACTAGTTCAAAAAATCCAGATTATTCAGCATATATGCTATCTATTATGAATAAGAATTATATTTGTAATTTTTCAGTCACAACTAGATTAAACTTGTTGTTGGATAAAAGTCAGAGAAGAGCATCGTTAAGAGTATAGTATCTCAACTCCTTGTTTATTATTATAAGGGAAAATATAACTTGAAGGGAGATAGCAACCACATGTCCTTAAATTTATTGATCCTCTTAAAAACAGAATTCATGGGCTCATTTCTCAACCATCCTATGACTAATAAATTTACAATTAGACCTAGTGAGTTGATAAACTTAGCAAATTTCAACGCTCACACCCAGAACTTCCTTACACTGAGTTATGGGTTGAGAAGAATTAAATGACTACTAACAACTGAGCAAGGGACTAAAGACTAATGAGCAATTTCAAAACTCTAACATGGAATTATTGAAGATTTGAGGACAAATATCTAAACAACAATAGATGTTTATTAATTACCTTAAGCAAGTATCGAAAGTTGTATTTAGCAAGCTCTTGTTCCATATAATGTACGAAGTGCCGTTTTTGAACCTGCAAAGCAAAACCTCAATTGAGTGTCTTATTACAAACTACAAGTAATCCCAAATAGTTAAACCGCACCTACTGAAAACATAAAATATCCAGAGATATCGTTTTAATCTCTGCAACGATATTTTTTAATCGGTATGTCCAACATAAAAATGGGCAACTCTCATAACAAAAAAGTTTCTTCACAAACTTGTCAGCTAGAACATTATAGGACAGTACCGGCAGATGTGTATCACCAGACCTTTTTTTTAAGTTTCGAGCCTACTCCTTACAACAAAATTAGGCGCATCTCGTGGTCGCTTTATCTCCTTGTTCTTTATGGTGACCGTCATGGTCTTGACTAGGTTGCCTTTATTCAACAGATGGCAAGTCATCGTAATCAGTGACCCAACGTCGGCATCCACAGGAATATAATAATTGTTGTGAGAGATAAGTTGAACAACTGATCATTTCCTAATTATCAAACAGATCAATTACTCAATTTATTAGTATATTTACCCATTTCACATCACCTCACCTCACTGGAATCATTAAGCTAAGGGTTTTTTTCGATATTAGTCCCTTAAATCTTTAGTAATTTGATATTAGTCCCTTAAATATGTGTATTTTGATTTTAGTCCCTCAAATTGCTTAAGGTTGTTGATAGAAGACGTTGTGGTTAATTAGGGTTAAATGAGATAAAATATTCTATCAAGATTAACGGAATATTCCATCAACTCCATCCACCCTCTCTCCCCTCCCCTCTCCCCCTCCCCACCCTCCTCCAGGCTCCTCCGCCACCCTACCTCCCCCCTCACCAAGCTCGTCGCGCTCTTCCTCCAGCCCTCGTCGCCCCGTCGGCCTCCGCCCGCCCTCATCTACTCCGCTTTCCCTCGCCCCGCCCGCGCACCCCCACTACCTCCTCCCCGCTCTCAGAGCCTCTCCACCCTGGACCGCCCCCCAGCCTTCCAGCATTGTCCTCGTCTCGCCTCCTCGCCATCCCTCTTTGATGACACCTCGCCCTTTCCAATCGCCTCGAATCCTACCCTTCGCGCTCCTTGTTTCCGCCTCCCGTCGCCCCCATCCTCCCGAAGCCTAGCCCTCGCCTCATCCTCGCCTCTGCGCGCACAAAGCCCAGTTCCCCCCTGCTCCACGCTCCCTGGCTGTGGGCAGCCACCCCTAATCGAAATCCAAGCTCTGCCCTCACTGCCGCTCCTTCATCAAACTCGCTCCCCTTCCTCCATGCTCCTCCTCAATCCCACCTAATTCCCGAACCTTATCTACCTCCTCGTCCCGCCCCCCCCCCACTCCCTCCGCTCCGCCTCTACCCCACTCGTCGCTCCTGCTCGCCTTCCACCTCCTCTCCAATCCTTGCCCTAACCATCTCCTCTCCTCTTTCCAATCCACATACCATGGTTAGTTTTAATCTAACCATGGTTATGACTTTTAAATGGAAATAGTAACAAAAGGACTTTTATCAACAACCTTAAGTAATTTGGGGGACTAATATCAAAATACACATATTTAAGGGACTAATATCAAATTACTACAGATTTAAGTGACTAATATCGAGAAAACCTTAACCAAAATATTCCACATATTATTAAGGGAGTGGGCTTACTATGTGTAAACGCAGCTATAATCCCTGGGGTCGAATACCGAGTTTCTGGAGACCGGCTTTCCCTCACCAGAGGGGATCCGACCATCGGTACGAAATCGTCTATATTTAACAATGAAAGCTCGTGAGGACCGCAAGGATTTCGCTGAGCCATTGTTTGTGTGGGTTTTAGGGTTTTGTCAACGGCGTGAAAATGAAAAGGAGAGGTGAATGGAGGTTTTGAGGGGAGTTATACGGGTTAAGTTAAATAATTAACATTCCTACCTCAAAATTAAATAATTTACATTTCTACCTCAAAGCTGGAGCGCAGATCCCCTTGGAACCAATCATGCGGGAATCATATGCAGATCGCACAATCGGTTGACACACGTGCATATCCCACTCACTCGTGAATAGCGATTCCCGTCCAATTAGAACCTTATTTCTTAACTACGAGTCGTTACCATCCAAGCAATGTTTTGTTATTTAAAACTAATTTTTATGGACACTATTTAAAGAATTTTATAGTGAGAAATGTGGAACTTAATCCGATTAGATAATTAAAAAAATTTAAGAACATTATAATTTTTCTCTCCAATTAAATGTGTAACTTCATCTGATTAAATAACAAATTAAGAATATTATAATTTTTCTCTCCAATTAACTGATTTGTCAAACTATTTTAGAAAAATTGTGTCATTGCCCCCAAAAGCAAAATTTTCATGTACTTCAGCCCCTTTTAACTTTTTCTCATGTGGTTCAGTCCTTAAATTCGAGATTTATGTTCTGTAGTCCTCTTTTAGCAATTATTATCTGCCAACTAAGCATAACAGAAAATAAAAAATTAAAAAAATCCTAAAATATCATTATCTCCTCTATTCTTTCATGTTAAGTCTAAAAGCAAGTTGGCGTAGACTTAACATGAAATTCTATCAAGTCTATTTCATGTTAAGTCTAATTAATTCATTTTAAGTCTAATTTAAATCATATTACGTCTAATTCAACTTGTTTCAAGTTTAATTTAATTCATGTTAAGTCTAATTCAATTTTTTTTAAGTCTAATTTCATGATAAGTCCAATTTAATTCATAATAAGTCTAATTTAATTTATTTTAAGTCCAATTTAAATCATGTTAAGTCTAATTCAACTTGTTTTAAGTCTAATTTAAATGGACTTAACATGAAATTAGGCTTAAAATAAATTAAATTAGACTTAAATGAACCAAATAAATCTAATTTAATTCCTTTTATGTCTGATTTTAATCCAATTTAGTGTTAAGTCCAATTTAGTTCATGTTAAGTCTAGTTAAGTTCATGTTAAGTCCAGTTTGAATCGTGTTAAATCCAGTTTGGTTCGTGTTAAGTTCAGTTTAAATTATTTTAAGTCTAATTTAAATTATTTTAAATCTAATTTAAATCTTATTAAGTCTAATTTAAATCTTGTTAAGTCCAATTTAATTCATGTTAAGTCTAATTCAACTTGTTTTAAATCTAATTTCATGTTAAGTCCGATTTAATTCATATTAAGTCTAATATAATTCCTTTTAAATCTAATTTAAATCATGTTATGTCTAATTCAACTTATTTTAAGTCTAAAAATAAGTTGAATTCATGTTAAGTCTATTTCAACTTATTTTAAGTCTAATTTTATGTTAAGTCTAATTTTACTCCATGTTAAGGCTAATTTGATTGTTGTCAAATCTAATTTAATTCTTTTTAAGTCTAATTTCATGTTAAGTCCAACTTGATTCGTGTTAAGCCTAATTCAGTTCATGTTAAGTCTAATAACATTTCATGTTAAGTCTAATTTTATGTTAAGTCTACCTTGATTCGTGTTAAGTCTAAATTCAATTCATGTTAAGTCTAACAACAGTTCATGTTAGGTTTAGTTTCATGTTAAGTCTAACTTAATTCGTGTTAAGTCTAATTTTAGTTTATGTTTAATCTAAATTCAATTCATGTTAAGTCTAATCATAGTTCATGTTAAGTCTAATTTGATTCGTATTAAGTCTAAATTCAGTTCATGTTAAGTCTAATAACAGTTCGTGTTAGGTCTAATTTTAATCATGTTAAATTCATTTTAAGCCTAATTTAAATCATGTTAAGTCTAATTCAACTTTTCTTAAGTCTAATTTCATGTTAAGTCCAATTAAATTAGATTTAAAACAAGTTGAATTAGGCATAACATGATTTAAATTAGACATAAAAGAAATTAAATTAGACTTAATATGAATTAAATTAAACATAACATGAAATTAGACTTAAAACGAAGTTGAATTAGACTTAACGTGAATTAAATTAGACTTGAAACAAGTTGAATTAGATATAACATGATTTAAATTAGACTTAAAAGGAATTAAATTATATTTAACATGAACCGAATTAGAGTTAACATAAAATAAACTTTCATGTTAAGTCTAATTCAACTTGGTTTTAGACTTAACATGAAAGAATAGAGGTGATAATGGCATTTTGGAGTTTTTTTACTTTTTATTTTCTCTTTATTTCTAGTTGGCAGATAATAATTGCTAAAAAAGGGAGTGCAGAACATAGATTTCTAATTTAAGGGCTAAACCACATAGGAAAAAGTCAAAGGGGCTGCAGCATAATAAGATTTTGCTTTTAGGCCCATATATATATATATGAGAAAAATGAGTATGCTTGGTACTAAGCACAAGTTTTTATGTTTGGTACCAAGCACAAATTTTTGTGCTTGGTAGTGAGATGATATATTCCCCTCCACTCATTAAAATCGGGGCCCACATTCACATGGATTAGGGAGTGGTTAAGAATTAGAATGAGTGGAGAGGAATATAACACTTCACTACCAAGCACAAAATTTGTGCTTGGTACCAAGCATACCCATTTATCTTATATATGGCAAAATGATCAAATTGATATATTTTGTTTATCCACAGTGACAAGTTAGCATATAATTTTTTTTTTGGTACCACATTGGTATATTTTCTTTACTCCGGCGATAAATAGGCCTTAAGTTAGGTCTATTTAAGGCTTATTTGTTGTCAGAGTTAAGAAAATATATCAATGTGGTACCGAAAAAAATTATATGCCAACTTATCACTTTGAGAAAATTATATGTCAAACTGTCACAGCTATTATTAATATGGTACCGGAGTAAAGAAAATCTTCACTTGTCCCTTTCTTCTTCTAACTTCCTCCTTAACATCAATGATATTCTAAATCTCTTTCGTAGTATAGCTTGTTCACGGCTACTATTAATCGGTTACCATATGAAGTCGTTCTTTGTTGCATTTGATTCTTAATCGTTGTTTGATGATGAGTCCTCACCATCATTCTTTGACTGTAAGGAAACATGTTCGATCTTCCAATAAGGAAGGTTCTCTAACACTAATGGTATAGAAATGAGCTTCAAATGATGGGGTGAGGAGTGACGACAAAGTCAGCCATGGCAGGTGTTATTTGATGATAGTCGTGGACACAGAGGCGAAGCTAGAAATTTTATCTTGGGCCCCAAAAATCTTGGATTGATATAGAGAACCCTTAGGGCAAAAATTCTAAATCTCTTTCTTCCCCATTTACTTGGATGGCATACTATTAATGCTAGAGAACCTTCATTATTAGAAGATCGATCATGTTTTCTTGCAGTCAAAGAATGATGGTGAGGACTCACCATCAAACAATAATTAGGAATCAAAGGCAACAAAAAACTACTTCATATGGTAACCGATTAATAGTAGTTGTGAACAATATACTAAGAAAGAGATTTAGAATTTTATTGATGTTAAGGAGGAAGTTAGAAGAAGAAAGGGACAATGGAAGATTTTCTTTACTCCAATACCATATTAATAGTAGCCGTGACAGTTTGGCATATAATTTTCTCAAAGTGACATGTTGACATATAATTTTTTTCCAGTATCACATTGGTATATTTTCTTTATTCCGGCGACAAATAGGTTTCTTTAGGCCTATTTGTCGCCGGAGTAAAGAAAATATACCAATGTGGTACCGAAAAAAAATTATATGCCAACATGTTATTAAGGGTAAACAAAATATACTAATTTGATGATTTTGCCTATACACACACAGAGAGACACACGCCTGCTATTTCTTTCAATGACCATAATAAAAATTCTAACAAATGATCAATCAATTGTTTTTGAAAGGACGTATTTACCTGTTATTTCTTTTTCTGAAGCCACCCATTCCCTAGTAAAGCCTGAATCTTCCTATAACAATCTCCAAATTTTGCTGCAACCAGTGATACCTGCACGTTACAAAAAAATTACAGAAAATATATCGCGATAACCAAAAGTTCAGATATAGTTGAAAATTATACGGAAACCAACATATTGATAAATTTCTCTCGAGAATCATATAGAAGGGCAGCCTCTCAGAGGAAATAAATAAATATCCTGAATACAAGAAGGCATTTGAAAACTGTAGCAAAACAATCTAGTCTAAGCCTGTTTTCTCTCACCCGTGTTATTTATGGTGAGTCCTTGGAGAAGAAGAGAAATCACAAATTGAAATGCAAGGAGAAAGGGGAAAAAGAAAGAAATTACTTACA